AGTCTCTGGAGGCGAAGAGGCAAAGAGAAGGTCCAGAGTCCTACTCTGCCTGTGAATGAAATTACGCGCATCGCTTAATTTTTGGGAGTATATTTTGTCTTGAACACTTAAAATTTCTGCGTCGAAATTTCTCTCCCTGAAAAAAACTATTTCAGCTGTTTGGTAAAGATTCACAGAAGAGTCGACGGCTTAAATAAACTTGCCTTTTTGGCATGTCTAATGATTTTTCGTTTTCTTTGATTTTCAGAGAAATTACGCATGACACATTACAAGAAGACCTTAACACGACTGTAAGTAATCGCAAAGGAAAAACGTTACTGGAAAAAGTTCCAGTAACTGTCTCTCAAATCTCAGCTCTCCGTTAAAAGCTCTCTTTTTTCAGCTCAATTCTTTTAACAGCTACCCACTCAGCAGCGTGCATATTTTTCTGTGACGCCAAAGTATTTAAAGACTCTGTTTGGTATCAGTTTGTCTACATACTAAATAGTTAAAATACTGCCTTGTACAGGAAAAAAGCCCACTGCTTTAACATACTGCTAAGCAGCTCAGTTTGATTTAAATAGTTACATTTCAGGATTTCATTCACAGACTCAAAAGTTGGAACCTCAAAAGTTAGAATCTCGTTGAACAGCATAATAAACAGCACCCCAGAACCCAGACAACTAGTGTTCAATAGTTTTCTTTTGAATGGTCACACGTGAGGGTGTCGTTCACAGACTTAAGACTCTACAACATAACGAAAGGACACCTCCCCAAACTCAGAGGTCGGTAACACAAAAACGAATTGTAACGATAAGGGCCCAGTAGCGGGTATCAAGTCATGAAGCAAAGCAACTAAAAAATATAATTTTATGCTTGTGTTTAGACCTTCTGTGGTAGACGCGTAGAGATCGAAAGCACACCACTTGAAATAACCAGAGCTTTCATGAACATAACAGTAAGCGACGAGGATAAAAAGGCGCTTGTTGTAACGGTAGGTACCTCAGTATTGAGGGTTTAGCCTTCGATCCCTCATCATAAAGTGAAATTGGTGTTCCCGCGCGCGAGCACTGGGCGTGAAGTGCAGTAAGACTCACGCGAGTGAATGCGGTGGTTTGGTGCATGCGCATCGCGTAAATAAAACAAATGCCCCCACCTTTCTTAGTGTTAGGGGCTGTTTACATGGAGGGTGAAAGATCCTAAAACGAGGAAAAACTTTTCATGGGGTTTACATGCAAAAATTGCGGTCCGTATGCTTATGAGCGATTAAAGATTACCCACTGAACGACCGAACGACTCGCCGCCATTTTTGTGCGGTTTGTCCCTAATATTAGGATCTTCCTAGTGAAAGCAGTTTACATGGTACTAGGATCTTCCTTCCTCTCAGCTAGGAAAATCCTGGTACAAGGAAGATCCTAGCGCTAGGGACAAGTACAACCCTTCGCATGTAAACTGAGTACAGAAAACATATGGCGCTAGGATGATCCGCCTTCTAGGATCTTCTTCCCTCCTTACAGCCCCTTAGAGTAGTTTGAAGTTGGAGGTTTTAAAGGCAGTGGCTTTTTTTTTTCTCTGTTGCAGTAATTTAAAGCTGAGTCATTTCACCGATAGAGATTACTTGCATGTAAAGAAAAATTGCGAGGCAAGCATGTATTCCATACTTGTACATATTCATACGACAAATGTATATTGTAAATAGTAGTTTTCAGAGTCGTTGATTGTGGAATGCCGAGATTTTAGTGATTTGTTTGCAAGCCGTGTGT